ACATCATTTTTTTGTTTTTTACATCTATTAATTTCATCCTATTACACTTTTGAAACAAAACAAATTTGACTAGCTGAAACAATCAAGTTCTGAATATGGAAATGAGGAAAAAATTGCTCATTCAAAATTTGAATGCCATCTATGTAGTGAGTTCATTCAAAATCGAGTTTAAACATGATCTGAGTGCAAAAATTACATTCAAACAATTCAAATTCTTTATAATATAACATTTTATGATTTATGATTGTTTATTTAAAATGTGTTTATGTTCTGATTGGCTGTTTTTTTGCGTTCTCCACATAACCTTTAGCATTGTATACAAAAAATGGATTCTTACCAACAGTTTCGTCTCATGGTTTGCGTGGAAAAGATTGATATTGCTTGGGAGTCATTGTAGTGAAACTTTAAAGTGTGCAGATGGAAAAAAACAAATATAGATGCCCTACATTGTGCGAACTATATAAAAGTTGTGGAAGGAATTAATAGGCTAAAGCAGCATCTAGCAGGAGTAAGAGGTAAATATCTTCTTGCAAAAAAGTCCCACAAGACATTCGTCACCAGATTGATAGAAAAAATTTAAAAGAAATAGCAAGAGAAAAGCACAAAACCCAGGAGGAGTTAGGAGCAAAAATACAACAATTTGTTTGTTGATGAACATATAGAGATGGAAAGGGGGTCTTCATCACTTTCCAAAAGTCACAAACATCTGTATGCACACCATGAGGACGTTGATAAAGGAATGAGAAAGAAAAGTTGAAAAAATAGATATACTTTTTTCACCAAGAACTAAAACCAAGGTTCTCAACCCCTCATTGAAAAGTGTAATGGCTTCCAAAGAAAGCCATATATCGTGCTTTGATTTAGCAGTTGGAAGGATGGCTTTTACGATAGTTTGCATTCCCCTTCAATGCCATAAACTCTCCTTTTCGCGGCAGAAGGCAATTGATTGCTAATAGCTGCAATTGGACCTGGTTTATAAGTGCCATTCCTATCACAAATGAGATGTTTAATTTCTGCCAGATTGCTAAAGAGGAAGTCGGTTG